CCATGGTCGTGGCTGGCGCCCTGCTCCGCCTGTGGTGCTATCGCACCCTGGCGCGCCACTTCACCTTCAGCCTCACCATCTTGCGCAACCACGAGCTCGTCCAGTCTGGTCCCTACGCGCTCCTCCTCCACCCGTCCTACACCGGCGCGGTCCTCGTCCAGGCCGGCTACCTGGCGCTGCTCGTGTGGGACCGCCTCTGGTGGCTGCAGCCGTGGCCCCTCTCGCTCCTCCGCTTCGACATCGCCTGCGCCGTGCTGGCGCTGCTCACCGCGGCCGCTTTCTACCGACGCGTCTCAGTCGAAGAGGCCGCCCTCCACCGCCACTTTGGCAAGCGATGGGAGGCACACACCGCCACCCGCAAGCGCTTCATCCCCTTCCTTTTCTAGAGGGTGAGGGAAGGGGCGCTCAGCCATGTCATCGCCACACTACCCGATCACGTTATGCACCGACGAGGTGGCGCTCAACCGGCCAAGAGTAGCATCTACCAACGCCCACCACCAGGGCGGGTTCAGTGCTGTGGAGCCCCACAATCGTGCAGAATAAAAGCGCGATCACGCAAAGTGAGGGCAACTGCTAACGTGGCCACTGCAGTATCAGATACTAGGAGCGGACCACTGCCCCAGCGGTTGCAGTTCCTTGTGAGGGCGATGAGCTTGTGGCGTGGCGCTTCGTGGCGAAGGCTCGAGATGCCGTAGCCCTGAGCAAGGCGAGTCCGTGAATTTCGGCCTCCGTGTGCGTCTCCAGTAGCTTGGCGTTCATCCGTACGTTTCATTCACCAGCGGGCACGAGCGTTGATCTCTTTCCTCGCTGCGGTCGCCACGCACGCACGACACACCAGCATGCTGGAAGACAATGCCAAAGGGCGTGGTCACGCCGATCTGTCGGCACAGAGCCACCAGGCGACCACATGCGGGACATGCACTGCGCCAAACAGCCAACATTCCTGTTGCATTCCAAGCACAGTTTTTGTTGTTTTTTCCTTCCGAGAGGCTTTGGAGTTGGATGTGCGTAGCGGCAAGAAGATCGGATGGACGGACGTCAGTACTTCGAGGCATTGCCCAACGCACAAGAGGAAGAGTTCAAATCCTGGCACATCGTGCACAATGACCTGCCAGAAACGGTTGATTTCGTTGGATTCAACAAGGATGGCTGGAGCGCTGTTGGTCCACACCTCCCCATGCAGAGCACCAAGGGGGTAAAAGAAACTTCGATCTGTTCAGGAATGTAACAGAGGAGCACAACATGGTCAAGAGCGTTTTCCATCTCTTTGCATCAATCATTCTACTCGCAAATACTAAGCATTTAGCAGGTAAAGGCAGAAGCAGCTAAAGGCAAGTGGAAAACTAGAGCACACGAGGCAGCTTCTGCACGGAAGGTGCGTGCCATACCTTACTGAGAAGCTGCGCCTATCTGACATTCAACATCAGAGGTTTGAAGATTCCATCAATGAGCGGGCCGGAGCAGCCGAAGTCGCGGCAAGAGCGGCGGACGAGAGGGCCAGAGCGGCTGACGAGAGGGCTGGAGCAGCTGAAGTTGCGGCAAGAGCAGCCGACGAGAGGGCCGGAGCAGCCGAAGTCGTGGCAAGAGCGGCGGACGAGAGGGCCAGAGCGGCTGACGAGAGGGCTGGAGCAGCTGAAGTTGCGGCAAGAGCAGCCGACGAGAGGGCCGGAGCAGCCGAAGTCGTGGCAAGAGCGGCCAACAAGAGGGCCAGAGCGGCTGACGAGAGGGCTGGAGCAGCTGAAGTTGTGGCAAGAGCAGCCGACGAGAGGGCCGGAGCAGCCGAAGTCGCGGCAAGAGCGGCCAACAAGAGGGCCAGAGCGGCCGAAGTCACAGCAAGAGCGGCCGACGAGAGGGCTGGAGCAGCTGAAGTCGCGGCAAGAGCGGCCGACGAGAGGGCCAGAGCGGCCGAAGTCACAGCAAGAGAGGCCGACGAGAGGGCTGGAGCAGCTGAAGTTGCGGCAAGAGCACAGAAGCAGCTGTGTGACTTAGCCTTGGCGGACTGGAAGGCACAGGCAGCAGACGCGCTGGTTCGTGTAGCGGCACTGGAA